AAAATTTAAAAAAAAAAAAAAAGAAAATTGGAATAGTTGGCCTCTACTTCAATCTGGTAGAAGCCATTTATGAAAAGCCAACGGCTAATATAATCCTAATTGGGGAAGATTCTCATTTTTTATGCTTGAAGTATTTCTTGAAAAGATGTGGGTTGACCATAATTTGCAACATTGTCTTATTAAATTTTCATACTGATATTCAGTTGAACTGTTAACCTAGAAATGTAGCTTGCTAATAATATAGAATGATACAAAAGTTAGATTGTAAAAAGGACTGCTCAGAAACATTTAGATTCAGGGTGCACCTTTATGTTCTTCCAGGTGGATAGGCTCAGAAAATAGCTTATTTTTGATGCAGTGTGGGGTAGTTCTTTTGTTAACCCCACTGTCAGGCAGTGATGCATTTTTCCTGATTTATATGAATATGTGGAACATAAACACATCACAAAATCTCCCCTTAAAATTTGAGCAAGTCAGTGATAGCAAAAATAATCTTAAGGAGAAGAAAAATGTTCTTAGTAGTTACACAAAAGTGTAGGGAGCAGTGCTGATATTGTTTCTTAGTTTTCTTACTGCTCTTACAAGTAAGCAAATTGTTTTCAATGTAAGTTTTGTTTGTGGGTGTGCATAGGGTAAAGAAACTGAATTTTGATGCTTACAGCCCTGGACATGTGCACTTACATCAAAATTTGCCTACTTGTTTATGAGGGAGGCTTGCTGTTTACATCTCAATTTATTTACTGTTTTGAGGCAAACTGAAATATTTAGCACTCCCATTATAGGTAATTCTGTAGTGCCATAAAATTTTAAATAATTTTGGAAAGAAGGATTAGCTTAAGGAATAACCACATCTCGTGAGTTTCTCCTTATCATTGTACTACCTGACTAAAAATGAGGAATTAATATCTTCAACTATTAAAATTTTTTCTATTATCTCTAAAAGATAGTTTTGGAGACAGTAAAAAATGATACGAAATGTCCAGTCTCATTTCAGAATAAAAGCTAGCATCTTTTAAAATTTCAGAATGCTTGCTTATGGATACAAGAAAGAAATAATGTAGGGAAATTATTCCTTTTAGAGAACTTCTTTTTTCAGTTTTGCTTTTAGAAATCTATGCCTTACCTGTAAGGAACAAAAAGATGGTTTAAATATTATTTGTGGAGTGAGAAATGTGTATGATAAATGCTTTGTAAATAACAAATACACAGTCATGGTAACTTTCCCCAAATTGAATGAGGGAGCAGGTTTATAAACTTCCTGGAAAATGCATAAAGTGCACAGGGATATCACATGACTACCATGCACTAACAGATGAGAAAAGGCATCATGTTATGCAGAGCAAGGAGCAGGATCAAGTGCCCTTTCCCTTCAGAGAGGAAAACTTGGGAACAGGTACTGTGAGAAAGGATAGATTGACAAACTTCCACTGGAATCAGATGTAGCTGGAAGAATGGAAAGGACACCTTCAATTATCCAATCCATGGCAATGGCAGTACTGTCTGTCTCAGCCTCCTGAATGCAGGCTGTGTGAGAGTGCATTTGGCTCTTTCAACTTTTTATTTTTCCTTTTCTGTGACAGAGTCACCAAATTCAATACAGGCTGATTGTGGCTTCATTCTGTAGCACAGTCTGGCTTCCAATTAACAGTAATCTTTCAGCCTGGCTTCCCAACCCAACCAATAAGAGGAATAAAACTGAGGGCCTCCTACTTTCCAGGAGACACTGCTTAGGTACAATCTTTGGAAAAGATTTTTCTTTGCTTGCTGTGCGACAAGGTCTCACTGCGGAGCTCAGGCTAGTATTCAACACAGTGATCCTCCTGTTTCAGCCTCTGTTTTTCTAGGATTACAGGCCTGTCTCACAAACTTGACTTCTTCCAACTCTTTATACTCTTGAAAACCTTGAGCAAAATGAAGTTTGCTTACAATATTTAAAAATATATCCGTATTTTCATATTTTTCTAATTATATCCAAAGGTCAAGCTGATGTCCTGAATCAAGCGCTTATTCTACTGAGCTATTTCCCTGGCCCCTCAAAACACAGAAAAACAGAAAACTTGGGTCAGAGTGAGTAAACAATTGCTCAAGACAGAAAATGTTCTGAGCATGAGTTAGAGATTTGTTTTTGATTGGTTACAGGAAAATTTTTTTACCAAAGAATGATTGTTTGCCTAGAAATACAAATACTGAGCTCCTGGTGCATGTCATATGCAGAATGCTAATACAAGGCACACAGACTTCATCATCATGGCAGATGGAGAAATGTGGTTTGAAGGGATACTTTTCCCTAATGTTTTCAAGCCTGAAATACTAAGAGATATAGGGGACAACTTTGTGGTGAAGAATGATGATACAATAATAGTGACATATCCTAAATCAGGTAAGGAATCATGATTGAGGATGAATCATGAGCAAAGCTATTGCTGTGGGATTTGGTCATCAAGTAGATGAGAAGGCTTGCACTAGGCCAGAATCAGTAGAGTACTTTTAGAATGAAGAAAGTGTCTAAATGTAATTCTATTCAAAAAAAATACAGCCAAAAATTAGACAGGAAGATTAGAGTTCAGAGGGAACATCTAAGGTAACACAAAAATGTAGCAAGGACACACTAAAGCAGAGGCTGGAATTTAATAATTGTATGAGAGTGAACATGATAGAAGATCACATTGAAGGTCACATGGCACTCACAAGTCAAGGACGATGGCCATGCCATAAAATGGCTTTAGCAAATAGTCAAAGAGGCCACTTAAATATTTATTACAAGACTCCAAGAAGGCAGTAAAATACCAGTCAGATGAACATATAGGCCAAATATGAAATGTAAATACAGTGGAGTACTAGGCAATCAGGAAAGAAGCACATAGCACAGAATGAACAAAACTCAAGATCATTAAGCTCAATCACATAAGTCCATCACAAAAGGAGAATTATTATATCATTCCACTTATGTGAAATGATTGCATTATTCCAATTCATAGAAACAGAACTTAGAATGCTGATTGCTATATAGTGCAAGGTAAGGACACTAGGATTTGTTATTTATTGAGCAGAAAGCTGCTTTTTCTTAGGCAAAAAACATAGGACTTTGAGCAGCTGAGTATACTAAACAGGACCTGACAGAACTGTAGCATATACAGTTCATGTAACATATACAATTATATATAGTAACTGTAACATATATAGTTCCTGTCTACGAGTTTGCTTTAACGTTGTACATATTTCAGAATTCTTTATACAATTTGCGTTTACATCAATGACAATTGTTCTTCTTGCTTTATTCAGGAACCAACTGGTTAATTGAGATTGTCAGTCTGATTTATTCCAAGGGGGATCCCCAGCAGATCCAAACAGAACCAGCTTGGGAACGTTCACCATGGATAGAGTCTAATATTGGATATGAAATATTGCTGAATCAGTGTGGCCCACGCAACTACACAACCCACCTCCCAATCCAACTCTTTCCAAAGACTTTTTTCAGTTCCAAGGCCAAGGTGAGAACCTACTACTTGAGAAATGTTTATTTAATCTACTGGTCTAGCTTTAATATGATTAGATTAAGTAGAAGAGAAAAAAATGTTATGAATTTTGGGCTCCAAGAAGATGCAAAGCCAGCTAAACAAATTTGAGATTCCATAGGGGTTGACAGAAAGAATTTCTTTGAGCATTCTTTATTTGGTTTTCAAGCAAAAGAAGGAATATTTATGCATACATGGGAACAGAGCAGTACCTAGAGGGTCAGTTCAAGGAGCTTTCAAAGCAATATATCATTTTTTATTAATTTTATTGAGAAAGAAATAACAATGAGTCAGTATCAAAACAGGTTAGTAGGACAGCTACAATAGGTAATACATTACCTATCATTGTCTTTGTAGTAGTTATTCATAGTATCAAAGCAGTATATATGACAATAAAAATGTTTTATTTCTAATGTTGGAAACTATTGCTCTTGAATACTGAGGGTCAGCGTATGTGTGCTTTGATTCTTCAGCAGTGGTTATCTTGATCTCACTGCACTGTAAATATGCTCCTTTCCAGAACAGTCAGAGGTGTCTGTGTACAGAAATTTGCCCATACAGCCCAGTCTCTAATGCAATCTGTTTAAACGAATATGTGACCAAATATCCTCTGGAGATTGAGCTGCAATATATACTCATTAAGCAGAACTTGATGGGATTTAAGAATCTCCCTGAAAATCTTTTGCTGCTGTGTCCATCCCTTAGGCCATGCTTGAAAAAGTGAACCATTCACAAATATAAATAAGCCTTCACTGATGAAGACTTATTGAAGGTCTGAGTGGAAGAATAAATCCAGTGTCTTAAAACACATATTTTAAGGACAGGAAGGATTTATGGTTATCGGAGCAAAAATTTCTCCATTTGGTTGTCAGATTATGAGATAATTGGCCAGTCTTAACCGATGAGTCCCTCTGAAACAAGGATCAAAAATCAAGATTTCTCAAACTTCTCTCTCCCTGCAGCAGTTGTTCTTTCTTCTAATAAAGATAAAAGCAGTGACTTTTTTCCCCTTAAGCAAACTTTGATAAGATCATATTCACATATCATTTTCTATTGTGCAAGCAAGCCTACAACATGTTGCAAAAGTGTCACTGCTTAACAAACTGCCTATGTTTTACTTCTGTAACATTTCCCAGCAACAGTTTCCTGATTTTAGATGAACCAACTCCTACTGAGCAAACATGTAAAACAGGGCCTTTGTCCTCTGTTCAACACTCAGCCAGTCTCACTCCAAGTCCCCTGAGCAAAGTATATACCTAACAAGTTCTGTTTCTCCCATGGTCTCTCCTGACTCTTTAATTCTGCAACAACTCCACAGACTTATGTGAAAAACTGTCAGTCATACTTGTCCATGTGGGAAGAAGCAGAATCACAAACTCTCCTATGTCTATGTCTAAGTGACTGATCTGGAGTCAAGGCTGGCTTTTCTAACATCTGCATCACTGCATACAGCTGTCTGCTGACATAAGCAACCACTCACACTAGCCACATGTCTGGTAGATCATCACTGAAGGGAACAGGTATACACAGGATCTAGCATCTCACACAATTTTAGTAATATCTCCTCCAGGTGTTTTTTAGTGTATTTTGAATTTTCAAATTTTATTTAAACTACACTGAGGGACTTAGAAAATAATTACCTTAGTAAATGTCACATTTGTGCAACACCATGATGTTGTTCCAATATACTACTGGCATGAGACTATTAGGATTTGGCTAATAATAGGCTGGGAAACTAAAAGAGTAAGAGAGATGGGACCAAATTAATGGAATAATGATCCTAAGAACCATAAAAATTTGTTAAATGCCAATGATCTCTTGTCAGTATGGCATTATGAGTGTAAATACACAATAATTTTGCACAGTAGTATAAATATGTGTGGAACTACACAGTGTGCAAACTATCATCCAACATTGAGAACATTTCTGGCCCCCAGAAGGGTCTTACAAACTTCTTCCTAGTCAGAGGGTGACCACAGCGGTAATTATTCTCTTAACTTAAAAGCTATGTATTATTTTGTTTGCTCTTGTAATTCACATAAATGGTCTTATCCTGTATGAACTGTGTTGTGTGGCTTCTTTAATCAATGTAAAATCTTTTAGAATGTTCTCTGGTTTAGGTATGTATACAACTGTACATTCCCACGTGCCTGTGAATATAGAAGAATTTCTAATTGATTTTCCCATTAGTTATTTTTTATAAATATGCATTCTCACAGTTTAGTAGATTTGCAGAATTAAGACATACAACCTTGGCGTTAAGAACGAAGATTTAATTCTATACACTTTCATTGCAGTACCCAGCTCATAACCTTTGAAAATGTGTATCTAATTGCTGAGTGCTGTCACACATTCATTAATATAAGGCATGATATTTAAAGTCACATTTTATAAACTGCATGCTTAAAGGTCAAGATCATGTGGGAAAGGATTCTTCCACATATTTTACTTAACTTATTTTTTTTTAATTCAAGGTGATTTACCTCATTAGGAATCCCAGAGATGTTCTTGTGTCTGGTTATTTCTTCTTCAAAGAATTGTCTATTGTCAAGACGCCTGATAAGCTGCAAGAATATTTTGAATTGTTCCTCAAAGGAAGTGGTAAGTGTCCTGCACGACAGAGGACCTGCAGAACTCAGAGAGTTTCTCTCCCTTCACTGGACTCCCCTTCATTCAGCACCCCTCAGCAGAGTGCAAGCCCAAGGCTCCACATTCAGTATAAGAAAGATCTAACTATGTCTTGGCTTTCCTGTACAACACTTTGTACAACACTTTCTCCAGCCAACCTTCAACTTGCTATCTCATAACCATCATAATTTCTGAGCCTCTGCAGCGTCTACTATTATTGCAAACTACTTTTAACTATTCTCTTAATTTATGATATTTGGAAGGTCAAATTAATATTGACATCCCAGAATATAAAATTTGATTTCCAGATGAGAAAGAGAGTGTTAAGAGTACTATGGCTTGGGGCCAGGGAGATGGCTCAGTGGAATAAGCTCTTCCCTGGCAAGCACAAAGGCCTGAGTTCAATTCCCGGTTCTGAAAAAAAAAAAAAAAAAAAAAGAGTACTATGGCTATAAGGCAGAGGGTTTTTTGAAATTTTAATAATTTTAATTAACAATGAAATATTTAATAATAATTATAATCTTAATAATTATTAGAACGGTCAACTATCATTTTTTATTTTTAATTTTTATTTTAATTTTTAATAGCAAGTTGAAAATAAATTATTTACAAACATAAATGAATATAACAACAAAAATTGTCCAAAATCAAAATGAAGAATTTACAGATCAGTCACAGTAGTTCACTGTGTCAAAACCAAGAAACTTATATTTATATAATTAGAATTCTCAGAGTAGAAAGGAGTAGGCAATAAATATTTAAAGATTTAAAATTTCTGAATTTAGTTCAACTTATAATATCGCATTTTCAAGAAAAATGAAGCTTTTGCACAAGAAATTTAAATAAAATCATACCAAGACACACAAAAATGAAATTGTCCAAAATTTATTGTAAAGAAAAAAATCATTCAAGTATGTAGATAAAAAATATTAACTATGGAAGAACAAAATTAAATAGCATCTTATTCCACATTAGAAAGAAAAAAAAAAGAACCAAGTGTGTAAGAAACTAGACTAATTAAAAGACTGAAAAACAATCTGTTCTTCTTTGAATTTTATACTTAGCAAAATATCTTTGAAAACTAAAAGTAAGATTGTCTAGTTATACAAATTTCAAATATTTTGATACCTCCAGAAGAAGCGTATAGGAAATAACAAAGAGCATATTTCAAAAGGTAAGAGAAGTTACAGTATGGTCCTGGATGAACAATAAAGAGCTCTCAATGTGATAGTATAAGACAGTTTTTTAATCAAAATTTTGTATTTTTCTTTTTATAGGACAGTTTCAATAATTAATGTATTGTACATTGTTATCTTCTTAGTGGTAATCCATAGTACAAGAGGCAGACAGGATATCCTGTCCAAATACTATTAGTACAAATCTTTCTTCTCATTGAATTAAGCAAAAGTATGTGTATATCTATCCAAACTATTCCGCATATGCAGATACAAACTGTTCCTTCCATTCTATCCCTTTTTGTTTAGTCATTTCAGAAATGGGTATTCCACTGGCATCTAAATACTATAGGTGCGTGAATTCAGAAAAACAATCCAACACACTCCAGAAGTCCACAATAGGAGTGGGTTATCCACAGAAATTGTTGACTTGAGCCTTTCACAGATCAGCATATTAATATGGCTTTACTTTATATACCTCTTTTTATATTTTTCTGCTGCATGGTTAAGACCAAGATAAAGCAAAACCTACATACAAGAATTGTAATTTTTGTAGCTGATAAGGTCAGTCAAGTACCCTCAAGATTTATCCTGTAACTCTGAACCGCAGTTTTCAGATCCTTTGTCAGTGTCAGCCATGTGGATGAGTCACGGCCATTGCTTAACCAACTTGCTCTCGGTAAAAGCCTGAAAGAATGTTTTCTCCCATGTCACTCTCCTTAGGCACATTGTACATCATTGATCACATTGCTCTGTGGCTCCATACTCTCCTTGATCAGAAAATTTGGGACACAATTGAGTTACATGATGTTACAGTATAGGTTCGCCTATGTCCTGAGTCTTCACTGAGTTTTAAAGGCCATGATCAAAATGTTGGCTGTCCTTGCAGCCCTTCTATTTCTCTATTTTTTGGTCAGCAAACTTAGGTTATTAACCCTCCAAAAAAGAAGCTTATTATTACCCTACAACATATACAGTTGGGTTTAACTTCACTATCTGTCTGAATATCAAACATCTTAGGCATAACATGGAACAGCTATTTTCCATCAGTTATTGATATGATAAACTTCAAATCCCTACAGAATATGGAGATAAAAATTGAAAAATATTTAAAGAATATGAATAAACAATTACATATTTTTTCCACAGAAATTTAGAAACCTAGCCATATACAGCATTGTACCAGGACTTTTTAAAAATTTTTTTATTTTTCATTTTTTTATTATTATTTTTCCATAAATTTACTGAGAAACAAATAGCAATGAGACAGTTTCAAACCAAACTGGTAGGATAGTTTGAATAATTAACACATTGTATACATTCTTCCTAGTGGTTAATTGCTGTACAAGATGCAGACATGATATCCTACTTACAAACACCATTAGAACAAATCCCTCTATTC